AAAAAAAAAAAAAAAACACCACTCTCTCTCAACCCGGCAGCAGCTCCGGAGGAGCCATGTGGCATCAAGCCACCTCAAAGGGGAAAAAGTGCTCTTAGCAACACAAACATGGCGAAATAGCTTCGACATGCCCGTTTCCCGCAACAGCCCTACCTTCCCTCGCCCGCCTTCCTTCCGAGCAGCCTGGCCGGGAACGGCAGCCCCTCCCGGGGGGCGGTGAGAGGTCCCGGGGAGTCGGGGGTGGGGACTCGGGGCGTGCGACGGAGAGAGCAGCGGAGTCCGCGGAGGAAATGTTCGGACTGACCGGCAAAGCCATCCGCCTGGCCGCGAGAGAGAGGACGCCGTTTTCACCCCTGAGATCCGAGCAGAGAACAAAATTTCCACCCCCAAGTCCTGCCAGCCCGGCTCTCCCCGCCCTGCACAACTTACCTCTGGGCTGCTGAGAGGCTCTTCTGGTTCCCCCTTCCCGAGAGCGACGCGAGGGGGGAAACGATGCGCGCGTAGATTTGTAGAGCATATTCTCAGAGAATTTCCTTGGGATTATCACGAGCAGCGATGGAGACTCCTGAGACAGGTGCTGCGCTGGCCGCAGCTGCCGGCTAAAAGTTGTTCTCCGCGCGGTGGGCGGCGGGGTCCCCGGGCCAGGGCTGAGGACCCCCGGCTCCCCTGTCCCCCGGCGTCGCCCACTTGTCACGCCAGGTTGCTGCGTGCGCTCGGCTGCAGGGGAGGTGGCGTAGTTTCTCTTCCTCCCACCTCTTCTCACTCACTTGTTTTTGTAGCCGTGGGCTCCCCTAATGCTTTCCTCTCCACAATGTTGTTTCATTATATCATGTCCATCATGTGACACCGGAGAGGCCTCTCTATGGAAACTTAAAGGGGCTCCCACGTGACTGCAGCAGCAACAACAGCAGCAGAACTGGCGGCGGCGGCCGCGGCCGCGTTGATACCACCACCCACCGGGAGCCCCTCCAAGCATCCCGAAGGGGCTTGTGGCGCTGCAGAAGCCCGGATAAGGGAGCCACAGCATCCGGGCGCTGTGGCGTCTGTGCGTGCGTGGAGCCGGCGCTCCCAGCCGGGGAAGCGGAACAGAAGGAGCGTCCTTAAATCCTTTCCTACAGTCACAAAACCCACGCTCTGTTAAAATGACATTTCAGTGGCTCCTACTTGGTTTCCCCTGAGAGCAGTGAGTTTTCTATCAGGCCTGATTAAATTTTCCCAAGTCAAAAAGAAAAACCGGATTTGTCCCTCCGCGAGTTCAGTCAGATCGCCGGTAGAACAGAAATGACAAAACAATAATAACAGAAATAGAATCAGGCATTTGATACATAATTACCATCACCACAGCTTTCAAGCTTTCTGGAATTACATTCCTCCAGTAACTGTTGATGATGCTTGCAGGAGGCAAAATGCAATGCAGTTTTTCTCTTCCGCAGCTATATTAGGGCTTTGTTGCTGACAACAGTAAAAACTTGTTTGTGTCAGGAAGTGAGGTACGAAGATATGACCTGGAAGGTACAGACAAAACCAAATGACAGTTTTTGCTTTTCTGACCACATTCTTTCAAATGGTGACAAAAAAGGCAGTCAGCTATAAAATGCGTGGAGTGTGTTTGGTGGGAAATAAAATAATCAGAAAAACATTTAAACATATTGTACATGCTAGACACTAGAAATTACATATATATAGAAATGATACATTATATACATATATATATCTAGAGAAAGGAAAAAGCAGGTGCATTTTAGTGATATTTTAGAACCACTAATTTTAATATCATTTCTAGCATTTAACAAACACTTGGAAAGACTTCAAGTCCGGTGCTATTTGGAAACTAACAGTTCTGAGTGCTTTCGGTATTACTGACTCACATCCCCTTTACGGGCTAGTACCTTAGATCCCAAATCTCTGCCTTAAAAGTTTCTATAGACACGGAGATTTTATCCTGGAAATCTAAGCTAGATAGCTATTTCTCTGTTTTATTCATGCTTTTCCATTTTACAAGAAAAATTGTTTGGATTGGCAGAATTATGAAAAGAAACTTTGCAGGAGACTAAAGAGTGGGATGGAAGATCACCATTTCTTTTTTCTTTTTTTCAGTGATAAGATAGGATTTATTAGATAGAAAGGAATATAGAAAGAAGATCACCGTTTCTTTAGGCCTTGACTTGACTCTCTTTCCACCTCATCAGTTGACTTCTGCAAGCATGATGAAAGATCTGCACTTCATCCCTTTTAATTCTTTCTGTCCCCAAAGTTTTACCTTCTTCTCATGCCTAATTCTAGCATCTCTCTCCTTTTTGCCCTTGTCTCCAGACTCAGCCCTCTTTCTGCCTGGGTGGACAGCTCAGGCCTCCCCCAAGGCCTCCTTCCCCTGCAGCTACCCCCACCCCCAGCCTGCCCCTTTTCCTCCTTGGTCTCCTCTCCTCAGCAGCTCGACCTCCTTATTGCTCTTTGACTTCCTCTAATCTCCTTCACAGTCTGGCCCATGACTTCTGGGCCTCTTCTTACCTTTCTTTATCTGAAATATCCTGCCCCTTACTGGAGCCTCCTTCACACCCTTCTCTCTGGTCCCATCCCTTCTGCCGCCAAGCCCCAGGATTCCTCCACGGCCCGGCCTGGTCAGCTTTAGCCTCATATTGAACGCGTGTCACTGGGCTGGGAAAGCAGTGTGTGTTCCACAGTGGGGCCTAGAGTCTCCCTCTCCACCCCGGGCTGTGGCCCCTGCCTCGCCCCCTCCGCCCCTCCTGAGCCCCGGTTGCGGCGCTTCCTGGGCGGATAGCTTGGACTTGCTGCAGCAGCTGCGGTTCTGCTGTGTCATGCAAGAAGGCGGCGGCGGCGGCGGCCCGAGTTGGAGGGGGAGGGGGGGAGGAACCTGATCCGCCGGTAGCGAAGGGCTGGAGGCAAACACCGAGCTCCCTCAGAGCCGCCCGGGAGCAGGGAGGGCTCCGCTGGCCCGGTGGCCCTCCCCGCGGGGCAGATGGTAAGTGGGGCGGTGCAGGTGGTCGCCTTGGGAAGGGAGCGCGCAGGGGGGGTTAGGTGGGACGGCGGGGAGCTCTAAGAGTCACCTCAACTAAACTGAAGGAGCCCAATGCCCGGCTGAGAGGGACCCAGGCCATAATAAGGGTGACCAGCCAAACGCAGCAATGATTGCTATTCGAACGATGCCCCGCACCTGACAGAGGGTGGAGTTGTACATCCCAACCCAGGGTAGAGCTAGAGGTAATGATTCAGGGTTTGAGAAACAACTTTCCATTGGACCTGGCGCTTTAAGGTGCAGCTGAATTGCAAAAGCCAACCTATAGCATATTCTTATGGCCTCGCAGTGCCGTCTGGGTTGTCTTGTTTAAATCTAGGAAAGAGAATGGGAACCCTGCCCAACCTCACTTTAGCACAAAAATAATGCTCTTGGCCAGTGGCCTTGGACAAACGGCCTCTGGTGCAATTAAACAATCAATAGGAAGAAGAGCTTCATTCCCCTCACCGTCCTCCTTCCCCAAGCTCCTCTGACCAGGGTAATTCATTCGGCTTAAAGGAGTAAGAAAATTATGGGTCATATTTCCTCCCAGCTGACCCCACTGTCAGTCTTCCCACCACACAAGATGCCCACCTCACTCCTTACTCCTTCTCCGGAGCTGGGGTTCTAAGAGACATTGCAATACTGCTCAGTTGGATGAGGAGACTGCCTTAAACTCAGCAATTTCACCTCCATTGCCCTGTGCCATTGGGGATTCAGAAACTTACAGCTAAGATCAGGGAAATGGAGGGACAGGCCCGGCTCCTAGGAACATTACTTCTTTCACCTGAGTGCAATGCACCAGACAAGTTTTTTTATTATTATTCCACTCCTAGAAATTTCAAAGCCCTTTCTGAAACATAATTTTTTTTTTTGATGTCAGTCATACATTTAGAAGGGGTTGATGGGATTAACTGAAAGGCTAATGACTGTCTCAAAAGCACATGCTGTTGCTAAGGAACTCAAGCTCATCCTGCTCTCTAATCACCGGCGAGTTAGTGGTGGAAATCAAACTGCTCAGGGTGTTAGTAAAATGTATGGCATTGGGTTAGAGGCGTTCTTGCTTATGTTGTAGCATCCTGGATTATTATCGATTGCCTCATACCCACATATCTTGTTTTCCTAATTTGATTTCTGTATTTGCGTCACTGCCAGGGACACTCAGACTAGACCAGTCAGGTTCACTTCCTGTTTCTCAGAACTGGTTTATATTTGGTCTCGTAGCAATAGCTAGTAAAACATTATCAAACTGATCCTCTTGGAAAGAAATCCTTGCTTTCTGTTGAAAACAAATTATCCCAATTAAATTTTGATTCCTGTGGAAAACGTCATCATTTGAGGAATAAACTAGACTGCCAGTTGTCACTGGAGAAAACCACTCTTGAAATGTAAAGTCTAGAAAAAGCCAGTATCTTTATTTCTTTTACCCAGAATCTTCATTCCTTAGCATTTGAACTAAAATTCAAGTAGAGAGTAGATGTAAGTATGATATTTCTAAAATGAAGTGCAAAAAAATACACATTGAAGCTGGGAAAAGCATTTAGACTAAATAAGGCATGGACTTGAATGGAATCCAGGCCCGGGGAGGACAAATCATCGTGGTTTTGCATTGAGGCACTTGGAGAACTAAGTGTGATTACAAGGCTACTCTGCAAGTAGGAAACCCCATTACTTTGTGACTAATTCTCTCTTTTACTAATTCCTCTATGTCCCTGGACAAGACAACATTTTCCCCCCAGTTTCTTCCTTATAACAAGGATATCACAAAGGCAGTATCATGAAGATAACCGTCATATAAATAATGGTGGATTCTGATGTAGTTAATTTGTTTAGATGGAAAATAAAACCCTTAGAAAAAGATGTATATGGCATTGAGGAATGATGAGCTGACAGAAAGTCAGGAAATTTGCTCCCACTTTTCTCACAGGCTGGGTGACCTTGGGTGAGCCACGGTAGGTCTTCTCGTGTCAGTTTCCTCATGGAAGCTTAAATGAAAGTGCTGGACTAAAGGATCTCTAAAGTTCCTTCCATTTACAAAATTCTTGTATTTATGTAGTACGATTGAACTCACTACATAAAAATTTCAATTTTAGCTGGATTCTGCAGTGTTAAATTTTAGAACTGAACCTATATTACCTATCCACAGAGAGCCTGGGGAAAATGATGGGAAATGATTTGCTGCTGTTGATGCATTAGTTTTTAGCATCAGTTGCCAGATAAATAAAATCTACCTCGATCCTAATGTACTTATTCTCTCCTTGCCTTGGTGATGTTTGTGGGAGCAACAGGATAAGAGGTATAAAAGGATAAGAAAGTGTAGAGAAAGGCCTTTCAGTTCTTTATTTATTTAGAGACAGTGTCCCCTATGTTGCCTGCTGACCTCAAAATCCTGGGTTAAGCAATCCTCCCACCTTACCCTCCTGAGTAGCTGGGACTACAGGTGCATGCCACCACCCCCGGGCTTTCATTCATTTTAGATATAGTTAACCCAAAATACTTTGATGATCAAAGTGGTGAAACAGTGGAGGAAGGGCTATACAAGAAATAAATTATCATCAACAGAATCTTCATGGAGCTAATAATCAATTTGCCTGTATTTTTACTTAGTGATAGACAAAAATAGAACTAGCTCAGATGTTAGAATTTTTCAGATTCAAGATATCAAGAGGTACCATGAAGAGATATGAGATTGTTGCCAGAGAGAAAAGTCCTGGCTTTGAAACGCAGCTCTTCTACTTTATTGATTATCAAATGCCTGCTGTGTGTCAGGTACTGTGCTAGGCACTGGGAATGCAAAGGTCGATAAAACACAGTCCCTACTCTGAAGGACCTTAGAGTATGATGTGGGGATAGATAAGTACACAGTTGATCATAAAACAGGAGATAATATCAACAGGGGAGCTCATTAAAAGGGTACCTAACCTTGACCAGCACTGTCAGTCATGATCACACAGGATGAATCCTGAGATGGGTTCTGAAGGATGACTAGAAGTAAGCCAGACAATTGGGGAGATTAAGGGAAAGGTCTTCTAGGCCAGGAAAAAAGACCTTGAGGTAAAAAGGCATGTCTAGAGAGTTGAGGGTGAGGGACAGTGCCTAGCAAGTAGGTTCTTAATACATACATTGTATGAATGCAGTGCAGAGGTCTTGAAGGATACATCCAGAAAGATTAGCATGGTCTTGTATTGTGAAAAGGCTTATATGTATATTTTCCTAAAAATATTGAGCTTATCCTAAGGCTGAAGGAGAGCCATTGATGAATTTTAAAGAGCATAGTGAAGTGATCAAATTTCCATTTTAGAAAGATCACTCCAGTTTGGAGAATGTATTAGTGTTAGTTTGAGTAACACTGTAAGCAGAGAGACTAGTTAGGAAGTGGTTTTGACATAATAGCAAAGAAATGATGGGTGTCTAAATTAAGGTAGTAAGAATGGAATTTCATTGTTGAATGTATCTTCAGAATATAAAGGGAGGAGATTTATGGCTTAGGTAAATGGGAGGACCTGAGATGGGGACCTCAGGAGGAAAAACAGGTTGTAAAGTGAAGGTAATTAGTTTAATGTTGGGTTTGAAGTATCCATGGGATATCAACGTGAAGCTGTCTACTACATAATTGAACAGGGAAGTCTAAAACTCAGAAAGTAACCTATGCTGGAGTCATCAGAATAAGTGATTGTTCATGGATGAAAGCCCCAAAAGACACGAAATAGAGAGAAAAGACAAGATCCTCCTGTGGAACCTTACAAAAATGCCAACATTTAAAAGGTAAAGAGAGAAAGATACAGGGGTAGAATATCCAGAAAGGAAGGAGGACCAGGAACAAGTAGTTTAAGAAGAACCAAGGGAGGAAATATCAACAGTATCAAATGCCAGAGAGAAGTCAATGGTAAGTCCTTACATTTAGCAACAAGGAGGTCCTGATGTGTTTGGCAATGAGAAGTTTATTAGTAAAATAGGTATAGTAACCAGATTGCAGTGAATTGAAGAAAGAATAGGAATAGAGGAACCAGATAGAGGAAGTTCTTTTTGATAAGGACCAAAGGGCAAGTAAGGAAGGCAGAATCAAAGCACTAGGCAGAGAATAGTGAAATTCATGGTCTGTGAGGTTACAGCAATATAGGTAAAGAGGGAAAGAAGGAAATACTACAGTAATGCAGAATTCTTGATTCTTTTAGCCTTTTTCAAATTAAATGGCCTCACCAATTTCTCAACCCAGAAAGCATGTATACATTCTTGGTTCTTCTCTTTCCTTCAGTTTTCATATCCAATCCAAGAGGCATTCAAGTCAGCTCTACCTCTAGAACATTTCCAAAATGTCTCTTTCTGTCTCTACTGCTATCACCCTTATACAAACCATCATCATCTCTCTTCTTTGCTCCTGTAATAGCTTTCTAAATGGTTTTCCTGCTTCTGGTCCTGTCCCCATTTTCCACAGCACAGCTAGAGTTATATAAATCATAAGACGTAAATCAGATCATATGGCTTTTCCTATTAGGATGCCTCCATATCTGCCGATTGCACTTGGGATGGAGTCCAGACTCCAGACCACCTTTGGTATCTCATCTCCCATCGCTCTCCAGTATTGCAGTAATACTGGCCTTTTTTCTATTCTTCATATACATTGAATTTGCTCTTGTTTTAAAGGACTTACCCTATATATTTCCTTTTCCTGGCA